AAACTGTGACATTTCATTCAGTGACGCTCTTCAATCGGCAGTGCTAAACTCGGAAGTGCATATACTTTCTTGCCGGCAACCAGGCAAAATAAAAGCCTGCTGATTTTAAAGTTGCAAATGATGAAAATTCATATATAAAAAAAAGAAAGAAAAAAGAAGTAAATATTAGCATTTTATTTTTAAGTTTACTATAAAATAACTGTATTTGTATTTAATATTCCCTTTTTATTTAAAAATATATTAGTATTATCACACTTTATTATTTTATTATAAATAAAACTAACTAAATAAAGTGCAAAAATATTATCACTATTATTAATTTATTTTTTATAGTTATATTTAATGGGTCATACTATGCGCAGTGTGAGGACCAAACCAAATCTCCAGGTTCTCTTATGAGAACCAGGCTGAAATACTTATGTGCACCCCTGATCACACAGCACCAACAGCGTAGTCCAATTCTCAAATAAATTGCTCTTATAAGCTGGTTCTTTATAATAAATCAAAAGCAGTGCATGGCCAGTCAGTGTAGTCTGATTTCCGAACAAAAGTCTTTATTTTTTTTTTTTACTGAATCAAAAACATACAGTGCAGGCACTGCCATTTCCAATCACGTGACACTTATGAGTAGGTTATTCGGTAACACTTTACAATAAGGTTCATTAGTTAAACATTAATGTATTAACTAACATGAACTAACCATTAGCAATACATTTGTTACTGTATTTACTAATCTTCACTAACGTTAGTTAATAAAAAATACAGATGTTCATTGTTAGTTCATGTTAGTTCACAGTGCATTAACTAATGTTAACAAGATTTTAATAATGTGTAAGTAAATGTTGAAATTAACATTAACAAAGATTAATAAACGCTGTATAAGTGCAGTTCATTATGTTAACTAATGTAGTTAACTAATGAACCTTATTGTAAAGTGTTTTGAGTTTTAGCAAATCAAAAACATAATCAAAATCAGTACCAACAAATGTAGTTCAAATAAATAAGTAAAAATATTCAGAGCCAAAAGTTTAGTCTGATTCCAAAATGAACAACTATTATGAGCCGTTTCTTTTTAGACTAACTTACTAAACCAAGTTATCAGTCATGCTCGACTCAAAATGGAATCAGAATAGTTAAGAGTCGTCAGACTCTACAAAAACCCCCTTGAACTATTAAAATGCACTTATTTTCCAATGCACATCCTGTTGAACAATTATAAATGGGATTATATGATGTATAGTACTGAGATACATGAGAATAACCTTTTGTAGAGATGGACAGCAGGGTTAGAGGTGGAGAGGGAGGTAAAGAGAAGCTGATGTGATCGGCACACTCTCATGAAGTACTCATGTTCAGCTGCAAGGTCAATAACCACTATGGCCCTTCGAGAGCTCTCCAAAATATGAGTGTGAGGGATTCATTCAACTACACTGATGGTAAATAACACTGATACTCAGCTGTGACGTAACTTGCAGAGAGTGTGCAATTTTTAACATTTGTTTTTCCTTTAATGTTCACAAACAGGGCCTTTCTCACTTCTGTTCATCTACCTCACTCATTGCCCAAAGCCGAGTATGGAGAGCACAGGAGATCTCTGAAGGCATGGAATAATGATAGTTTCATGTAAAATTCATGTAGTGCTCTGCATTATGATGTGACCTTTGGAGCGTTCCAGTTACACTGCATTTTAATTCCCACGCTGTGGTTCACAGTTCAGGTCTGAAGTGATTGTCATTAGCATATCTCTCGTCGTGTTTACTTTATGACGACTAGACGCTCAGGAGAGTTTGAGAGCCGGAAGGATGACGCATTGTCCACGGTGCTCAAGACAAATTCATCTGCAATATTTGCCTTGCTGTGAGATGAGAAGAAAAACATGAACTAACCATGAGCAATACATTTGTTACTGTATTTACTAATCTTCACTAACGTTAGTTAAAAAATACAGATGTTCATTGTTAGTTCATGTTAGTTCACAGTGCATTAACTAATGTTAACAAGATTTTAATAATGTGTAAGTAAATGTTGAAATTAACATTAACAAAGATTAATAAACGCTGTATAAGTGCAGTTCATTATGTTAACTAATGTAGTTAACTAATGAACCTTATTGTAAAGTGTTTTGAGTTTTAGCAAATCAAAAACATAATCAAAATCAGTACCAACAAATGTAGTTCAAATAAATAAGTAAAAATATTCAGAGCCAAAAGTTTAGTCTGATTCCAAAATGAACAACTATTATGAGCCGTTTCTTTTTAGACTAACTTACTAAACCAAGTTATCAGTCATGCTCGACTCAAAATGGAATCAGAATAGTTAAGAGTCGTCAGACTCTACAAAAACCCCCTTGAACTATTAAAATGCACTTATTTTCCAATGCACATCCTGTTGAACAATTATAAATGGGATTATATGATGTATAGTACTGAGATACATGAGAATAACCTTTTGTAGAGATGGACAGCAGGGTTAGAGGTGGAGAGGGAGGTAAAGAGAAGCTGATGTGATCGGCACACTCTCATGAAGTACTCATGTTCAGCTGCAAGGTCAATAACCACTATGGCCCTTCGAGAGCTCTCCAAAATATGAGTGTGAGGGATTCATTCAACTACACTGATGGTAAATAACACTGATACTCAGCTGTGACGTAACTTGCAGAGAGTGTGCAATTTTTAACATTTGTTTTTCCTTTAATGTTCACAAACAGGGCCTTTCTCACTTCTGTTCATCTACCTCACTCATTGCCCAAAGCCGAGTATGGAGAGCACAGGAGATCTCTGAAGGCATGGAATAATGATAGTTTCATGTAAAATTCATGTAGTGCTCTGCATTATGATGTGACCTTTGGAGCGTTCCAGTTACACTGCATTTTAATTCCCACGCTGTGGTTCACAGTTCAGGTCTGAAGTGATTGTCATTAGCATATCTCTCGTCGTGTTTACTTTATGACGACTAGACGCTCAGGAGAGTTTGAGAGCCGGAAGGATGACGCATTGTCCACGGTGCTCAAGACAAATTCATCTGCAATATTTGCCTTGCTGTGAGATGAGAAAGATATGGAATATGGTGTGCATATTAATTATAGAGAAGTGAAACCAGGGCTATTACTCTTAAAATGTTTTGAAAGTGAGTTGAGAAAATGTTAAACAAACAGGAAATATGGGGTGGGGGAAAAAATATATTTTACATAAACTGAATAGTAAAAACCTGTTAATGTGTCAATGACAAACAAAAAAGTTGAAATTTAAAGCATGTGCCAAGTTCCCACAAATATGCAACAAGGATGCATTAAATTGGTCACAAAAGCTTTCTATTTTAAATAAATGCTGTTCTTTTCCACAAAAAATATTAATCAGCACAACTGTTCACAGCATAATAATAATAAATGTTACTTGAGCACCAAATCAGCATATTAACATGATTTCTGAAGGATCATGGAGTACTGAAGACTGGAGTAACGGCTGCTGAAAATTCAGCTTTGCATCACAGGAATAGATGTTCATTATAGAATGGGTTTATTCAAGAATGAATTGCATTTTTAATTAACTTTTGAATAAAGTAATAAATTCAGACTCAATTCAATTCATATTAAAAGAGTGTCATGTCACTGACCCACTATAAAGCCCCGTTCACACCAAGAACGATAACTATAAAGATAATGATAATAGCATCCACACCAGCGAACGATATCGTCTGTTTATTCTAAGCACACGCACGTCTGCCGCTTTAACGCTTTAAATTCGTCACAGCAGGATGGATTCTGATTGGCTGTCCATTTTTTATCGTTCATCAGCTGAAGAAAAATTGTTTTGTTGTTTTGTCCAACGATATCGTTTCTCTTTGTCTTTATCATTATAGTTGTGGTGTGGACTCAATATTCTTAATATTCTTTAATATTGAGAATGATTTTTAGAACTATATCTTTATGGTATCTTTATAGTTATCGTCCTTGGTGTGAACGGGCCTTAAGAATAAAAAAAGAAAAGAAAATACAATTGTACAGAAATTAATAGCTATAATCTTTCAGTTTAATATAAGAATAGTTATTGGGAGTCAAAGAAAAATTAAATAATCATTATCGGTAGTGCTCCATCAACTGGATGAGCCCAATATTATTTATCAATTATATAATCTCCCACTTGCAATATCATACGGTAATAAAATGACCCAGAAGAGATGACTGCAATTTTGTTTGTGATCTAAAGGTTCAGTGCTTCTATACAAATGCAAATGAGAATTTTAGTATCCAGGCTGAAGATGTAGCAAGACCGCATTTTGTGGCGAGTAGCTATAAGGTGCTTGGCAGAGACTCCACTTTTTTTTGTTAACTCAAATTAATTGCTTCATGATTTGCTCATGAATGAGATCGCCTGCCCCATTCACCGTGCAATACGTTTCTCTCGCTACAGCTAGACAAATATCATTTTCAAAGGCAGGAATCTAACCTATTTTATGCCTGTCTAGAGCACAATGAGAATTTAATCAATGAATAATTTCATGCTCAAGCAGTGAATTTGGTTCACAGTGACTTTTGGAAGTGACCTGTGTGTGTGTGTGTGTGTGTGTGTGTGTGTTGGCCAACTTTATCTGATTTTCTCGGACATCCATCAACAGGAGGTATGGGAGAATGGATGGAGAATGGGCGTACCGTGCAAAGGTCCTTGTACTGCATCTTCTGGAACTTGGTGTCGGCGTTGCCGGCGCACAACTCTACATATCCCAGCACCACCTGGAAGACAGTGTTGTGGATGGCCTGGGTGAAGTGCATGTGCAGTTGATCCATGGCCGTCTGGGTAGAAAGTGGAAAGACAGGAATGACAGATTAACACTGGATCGTCTGTAGGAAGAGTTATTTTTTATACAGGAGTATTTTTATATAGCATATTCACAAAGGCATCAACGAAAAAAGAAAAAGAAAAATCAATATTATAACCTACCAATTCTTTCTTGCATTGCGCAAAATGATATTTTTAAAGTGAACATCTCTGTATGTTTAAAACCTGCTGTATTGACCTTTCTCCACAGAACTGCTTTGAAGCTAGCAGCTTTTCTTCTCACAACCATTAGATGCTTTCACCATCACAAAAAAAACAAGCAATGGGGTTGTATCCTACAAAGCAACACATAAATAATAATAAAAAAACTCAAACCACAGTAAATAAAAACTTTTTTTTTTTACTTTAAAGTGTCCATGCACATTTTCTAATAAAGAACCAATAAATGACTTTTAAACAGCCCGATTTCTTCCTTAATTATTATTTTTATCTTGTTTAACACTAAAAATATTATAGTACATATTCTTAGAACAAGATTTATCTTAAGGACCAAATCAGTATATTATGGCTGAACTATATCATGTTTTTACAATTTATTTTTGCTAAAAACTCTGTTAACTCCGTTAAAAATCTCTTCAAAAGAGCTAACTGAATAAAAAGGTTTTTCTATAGAGTATGTAAAAGAATAATAAAAGCATTTTCTGAAATCAAGTCTTATAAGTGTACTTTGTTCTATGGATGTTCAGATATTTTTTTTACTGGAAACTAGAAGAAAATGACAATGTATTTTCCCTGCCAAAGCAGATCTGTTTGAAGGTAAAACTTCTGGGTAACAGTGGGCCTGGCTCACACTCTCACGGGATATTAATCATTACCCAGCTACATACTGAAGCTCAGTATGGTCCCAATGGGAAAAGAAACTGCTTTGCTACAACTTAATTACGCTTCTTTCCTCTCGCTTTCACTGCTTCCTTCTTCCTTCAGCCATGGGCGCATCCCTCCCTTGGCTTTGGCTGAATTCAATCAATCAAAAAGGCTATCAGGATATTCGCCTTCTCCTGCAGGCCAGTGTGTTCAAAAGCAGATAGGTGGAAATATTTAAAAAATATTAAAACATATTTAAATGAAAATTAAGGAGCTGATGGAGTCATCAACTTTTTTTGCATTTTTTCTGTGAGGGAAATGTTTTTTTTAAATAAACCTGAAAACATCAAACCGTAATAATATATGTAAAAGACAAATGTGACGGAAATATTAACTGTGCGGAGAAAAACGAGCAATTACATCCATTAGATAGATTTAAAAAACAAGAAAAACAGAGAAGATGAAAAGATGGAGAATTAGATGTGCAGTCATTAGGCTAATTGCTGAGTTCATGGAACAGAGACTGAAAGAACAACAACTCTTTAGAGGCACAAACAACAGTTTTAGCGAATGACGTACAAACTGAAACAAGGTTTGTGTTTGATTTGTTTTAAACTTTGAAGCTAGATGGTCAGTAAATATCTAGCTAAAAGCATGTTGGAACATCTTGGGTCAGATCTATGATGAAATATTCATCATTGATGTCTCTTTAGAGTTGTGAAAATGAATTTCTATGAGAAAATGCATTTGAAATAATGGCAAAGGCTACAGAGTGAGCTACTGCAGAAAAAAGTGCATACCCTAAGTACAAAGTATGGAAAAAGTTGGAAAGATTCAGCTGATAAGGCAGCAACTAATGCTAGTGTCTAAGTTTAATAATTTTTTTTGCTTTAAAAAAAATAAAAATGAAAAAAAAAAAAATTGAAATTGAAACGATGAGGAAAAAAAATTTAATTGCACGTCAAATGATCAAACTTCTGTTTAAAATAACATAAAATAACTACATAAATATAGATATTTAAATAGCATTTAAAATAACAAATAAAATATATGAATGCATATTAATGCTATACAGGGGTCTATAAACATAGTAATATAAACTGCATGTAGCGTTTTAAATCAGAAAATGTAAAATGACTAAATTATAAATAATAGTTAAAAAACAAAAGCACACACCAAGGAGTCAGAGCGATAGCAAGTCCAGCGAGTTCAAAGGTAGCATTTGCAAACTAGATGTATTAGCACTACATTTCCCTCGTTGAGGTGAAAGGCAAGAATGTTTATGTAGCTGTGGTCTGTGCAATAAGTATTAAAAGTTCTAAACCATCTATTGTGTTTTATTTCATTTACAATACCGTATTGACCCGAATATAAGACGATGTTTTTTTCTTGGAAATACATCTGAAAAAATGCGGTCGTCTCATATTCAGGGTCTAGACTTTGACATGTCAATAATACACCCACAACAATAGGTGGTGCCAAATATGAATAAAACGAGGGAATAGATGTTCATTATAGAATGGGTTTATTCAAGAATGAATTGCATTTTTAATTAACTTTTGAATAAAGTAATAAATTCAGACTCAATTCAATTCATATTAAAAGAGTGTCATGTCACTGACCCACTATAAAGCCCCGTTCACACCAAGAACGATAACTATAAAGATAATGATAATAGCATCCACACCAGCGAACGATATCGTCTGTTTATTCTAAGCACACGCACGTCTGCCGCTTTAAATTCTTGAGCTCGTCACAGCAGGATGGATTCTGATTGGCTGTCCATTTTTTATCGTTCATCAGCTGAAGAAAAATTGTTTTGAAAGTGATTCCAACGATATCGTTTCTCTTTGTCTTTATCATTATAGTTGTGGTGTGGACTCAATATTCTTAATATTCTTTAATATTGAGAATGATTTTTAGAACTATATCTTTATGGTATCTTTATAGTTATCGTCCTTGGTGTGAACGGGCCTTAAGAATAAAAAAAGAAAAGAAAATACAATTGTACAGAAATTAATAGCTATAATCTTTCAGTTTAATATAAGAATAGTTATTGGGAGTCAAAGAAAAATTAAATAATCATTATCGGTAGTGCTCCATCAACTGGATGAGCCCAATATTATTTATCAATTATATAATCTCCCACTTGCAATATCATACGGTAATAAAATGACCCAGAAGAGATGACTGCAATTTTGTTTGTGATCTAAAGGTTCAGTGCTTCTATACAAATGCAAATGAGAATTTTAGTATCCAGGCTGAAGATGTAGCAAGACCGCATTTTGTGGCGAGTAGCTATAAGGTGCTTGGCAGAGACTCCACTTTTTTTTGTTAACTCAAATTAATTGCTTCATGATTTGCTCATGAATGAGATCGCCTGCCCCATTCACCGTGCAATACGTTTCTCTCGCTACAGCTAGACAAATATCATTTTCAAAGGCAGGAATCTAACCTATTTTATGCCTGTCTAGAGCACAATGAGAATTTAATCAATGAATAATTTCATGCTCAAGCAGTGAATTTGGTTCACAGTGACTTTTGGAAGTGACCTGTGTGTGTGTGTGTGTGTGTGTGTGTGTGTTGGCCAACTTTATCTGATTTTCTCGGACATCCATCAACAGGAGGTATGGGAGAATGGATGGAGAATGGGCGTACCGTGCAAAGGTCCTTGTACTGCATCTTCTGGAACTTGGTGTCGGCGTTGCCGGCGCACAACTCTACATATCCCAGCACCACCTGGAAGACAGTGTTGTGGATGGCCTGGGTGAAGTGCATGTGCAGTTGATCCATGGCCGTCTGGGTAGAAAGTGGAAAGACAGGAATGACAGATTAACACTGGATCGTCTGTAGGAAGAGTTATTTTTTATACAGGAGTATTTTTATATAGCATATTCACAAAGGCATCAACGAAAAAAGAAAAAGAAAAATCAATATTATAACCTACCATTCTTTCTTGCATTGCGCAAAATGATATTTTTAAAGTGAACATCTCTGTATGTTTAAAACCTGCTGTATTGACCTTTCTCCACAGAACTGCTTTGAAGCTAGCAGCTTTTCTTCTCACAACCATTAGATGCTTTCACCATCACAAAAAAAACAAGCAATGGGGTTGTATCCTACAAAGCAACACATAAATAATAATAAAAAAACTCAAACCACAGTAAATAAAAACTTTTTTTTTTTACTTTAAAGTGTCCATGCACATTTTCTAATAAAGAACCAATAAATGACTTTTAAACAGCCCGATTTCTTCCTTAATTATTATTTTTATCTTGTTTAACACTAAAAATATTATAGTACATATTCTTAGAACAAGATTTATCTTAAGGACCAAATCAGTATATTATGGCTGAACTATATCATGTTTTTACAATTTATTTTTGCTAAAAACTCTGTTAACTCCGTTAAAAATCTCTTCAAAAGAGCTAACTGAATAAAAAGGTTTTTCTATAGAGTATGTAAAAGAATAATAAAAGCATTTTCTGAAATCAAGTCTTATAAGTGTACTTTGTTCTATGGATGTTCAGATATTTTTTTTACTGGAAACTAGAAGAAAATGACAATGTATTTTCCCTGCCAAAGCAGATCTGTTTGAAGGTAAAACTTCTGGGTAACAGTGGGCCTGGCTCACACTCTCACGGGATATTAATCATTACCCAGCTACATACTGAAGCTCAGTATGGTCCCAATGGGAAAAGAAACTGCTTTGCTACAACTTAATTACGCTTCTTTCCTCTCGCTTTCACTGCTTCCTTCTTCCTTCAGCCATGGGCGCATCCCTCCCTTGGCTTTGGCTGAATTCAATCAATCAAAAAGGCTATCAGGATATTCGCCTTCTCCTGCAGGCCAGTGTGTTCAAAAGCAGATAGGTGGAAATATTAAAAAAATATTAAAACATATTTAAATGAAAATTAAGGAGCTGATGGAGTCATCAACTTTTTTTGCATTTTTTCTGTGAGGGAAATGTTTTTTTTAAATAAACCTGAAAACATCAAACCGTAATAATATATGTAAAAGACAAATGTGACGGAAATATTAACTGTGCGGAGAAAAACGAGCAATTACATCCATTAGATAGATTTAAAAAACAAGAAAAACAGAGAAGATGAAAAGATGGAGAATTAGATGTGCAGTCATTAGGCTAATTGCTGAGTTCATGGAACAGAGACTGAAAGAACAACAACTCTTTAGAGGCACAAACAACAGTTTTAGCGAATGACGTACAAACTGAAACAAGGTTTGTGTTTGATTTGTTTTAAACTTTGAAGCTAGATGGTCAGTAAATATCTAGCTAAAAGCATGTTGGAACATCTTGGGTCAGATCTATGATGAAATATTCATCATTGATGTCTCTTTAGAGTTGTGAAAATGAATTTCTATGAGAAAATGCATTTGAAATAATGGCAAAGGCTACAGAGTGAGCTACTGCAGAAAAAAGTGCATACCCTAAGTACAAAGTATGGAAAAAGTTGGAAAGATTCAGCTGATAAGGCAGCAACTAATGCTAGTGTCTCAGTTTAATAATATTTTTTGCTTTTAAAAAGATTAAAATGTAAAAAAAAAAAATTGAAATTGAAACGATGAGGAAAAAAAATTTAATTGCACGTCAAATGATCAAACTTCTGTTTAAAATAACATAAAATAACTACATAAATATAGATATTTAAATAGCATTTAAAATAACAAATAAAATATATGAATGCATATTAATGCTATACAGGGGTCTATAAACATAGTAATATAAACTGCATGTAGCGTTTTAAATCAGAAAATGTAAAATGACTAAATTATAAATAATAGTTAAAAAACAAAAGCACACACCAAGGAGTCAGAGCGATAGCAAGTCCAGCGAGTTCAAAGGTAGCATTTGCAAACTAGATGTATTAGCACTACATTTCCCTCGTTGAGGTGAAAGGCAAGAATGTTTATGTAGCTGTGGTCTGTGCAATAAGTATTAAAAGTTCTAAACCATCTATTGTGTTTTATTTCATTTACAATACCGTATTGACCCGAATATAAGACGATGTTTTTTTCTTGGAAATACATCTGAAAAAATGCGGTCGTCTCATATTCAGGGTCTAGACTTTGACATGTCAATAATACACCCACAACAATAGGTGGTGCCAAATATGAATAAAACGAGTGTGCCATGAAATACGTAATGTAATGCGTGTTGTATGTTAGGTGTCTCTCACATGGTCCCACAGCAACATTAAAATAGTGTAGATTAGTGTACAATGGTTTTTTTAATAATAATTTATTCTATTTAGTGTCCATTTCATTCATTTAACATTGGGGGCTTCCAAGTTATTTGACATATTTGAATTTTTGTTTTAAAGTAACACAATAGCTACTTTCCCTGGTAATTAGTTACTTTTATAATGATGTAACTCCGTTAATATTTGTGAGAAGTAACTATAACTAATTATTTTCTTAAAGTAGCATGCCCAACACTGCTAGTGAGTATGTGAAAAGGTGTAGCACACCAGATTATCACATCTGGTGTGTTATATATAAAATACACAACAGTTCTTTCTGGTCCTCGAATCTGATTGGCTGAAATGGTAAACTCCAACCGTTTACCATTTGTATCACTTTAAATATATATACACATATATATTATACCATCACTACAATATATATATATTCAGAGTGAAGCGCAGCACTGTGTTCTTTAACACGCAAGCAGCTTGTGATCTGATGTTTTCAGTATCTCGAAGCAGCTTGTTTCACACTAAAGACTGCTACAGTTAATATTAGTAGTAGTAAATACTAATATTTTACTTTACAGTGCAATATTATTGTTATAGTAATATTTTTATTTATTAGAAAACTTTAGTAGGCGGAGGGGTGATTCCTGCTTTCTTTTTGTCCTTTGCAGTTTGTTATATTACTTTTAAAGGAACTTTTACATTTTAAAGAATTTCAACTTTTCAACTATGGTTAATTTAAAACCTTAATTTTTATATTAAAACTGACAAAATCCATCCATGAATAGTTCATTAAAATGTATATTTTAATTAAAATGATTGCACTTTCTTTCGTTTGGTTGGTAAGTACAAGCTTTACTTAAATGACTTTGAATTAATAACACGAAACAGTTAAGTTATGCACTGTAGAAACCTCTCAAACACATTAAACCATATAAGCAATCTGTCAAAGCACCAGTCAGTCAGCAATCTGTCAAAGCACCAGCAATCAGTCAGCAACCACACGAAATGCAATACTAAGTTAATTATTTTCATAATCATTTTATTGTTGCATATATACTTGTTGCAGTGGTACAGTTCTCAAAAGCTTGTTTTTCATAACTACTCCCTGCAAGGATTTGATCATGCATCCCAATTAAGTGTCCTGAATCACCTAATAATCTCTTCAGCCAGGGAATGACCCTCTCGGCGGTCTCCATGCAGAGAGCCGACTCTTAAAATCAGAATCTGTTTCAAGGGTTACGTATAAATCACACATCTTGGAATCGGTCCTTCAGTAATTACGGGTTGATCGGCTTAAACACCCTCACTCAGTAACCGCAGATGAAACTGCCATAGTCTGGTCTGCAGACGGCAAATAAATTAAGTTCTTAGAGGTGTGTGTGTGTTTGAGTGTGAGCGATTGAACGTCTCTGAATGAACAGCGCAGCTGCCATCTACCCAAGAGGCTTTGGTGATCAAAGGACATGAGGAAAGCTCTTTTAGATGAGACGGGGGACGTCTCAGGACGCACATACTTGCATACTTAAACACAGTCAGGCTGATGGACAAACACACACAAAGAAATGCTTATAGACACACAAAGAACACACTATTTGGATAGGATTAGATTTGAAATGACTACGAGTTGTTGAATTGAACGTAAACAATACTTTAATATAAAAAAGATCTCTATATTAATTACATAAATAATGTCTTGATAGCAATATTTATACAATTCATATTTTTGAATTAACTCATTTTGAATTAAAATTAAATAAAAATGTTAAATGTATTTCCTGTTATGTCAACGCTGAATTTCAGTAGCTGTTACGTCACATGATCCTTCAGAAATCACTCTAATATGCTTATTTGATGCTCAAGAAACATTTTATTATCAATGTTAAAAATACAGCTTAATAAGTTTGTTGCAACTATGATACTTTTTTTAGGATTCTTTGATGAATACAGATTTATTTAAAATATTTTTTTTATAACATTAAAAACTCTTGATCAATTTAATGTGTCCTTAATGGATAAAAATATTAATGTTTAAAAACATTCTAACTGACCCCAAACTTCTGAAAGTATTTATATTCTATATACATATATAATTATATTATACATATTTGTACTGCTACAGTTGCTATTAGGAGCAGTGCATGATCAGACTACCTTTTATTCTTTTTAACAATGGATGGGATGCCAGCAATATTTGAACCTCCAACTGTTATTTTATCCAGAATGTTGGCAAAAAGGTCTAAATTCATAATGAAGGTACACCAGGCGGCACAAGAGCAAATTTTGCTTTAGTTACAGTTTTCAAGGTCAAAATAAATGCGGAGAAACATCGTGAAAAAATAATAGACTGCATTTCCAGATATTTATATCCAGACAGGATTTCTCTAAAGACCTGAGTTAGCTGAAAAACAGAAGGTGATTTGCTCCTTACATTTAGTTTTTTGAGGTTGTGTGAGAAACACACAGATATGTTCAATGCAGATGAGAAATAAATCACAAAGAATACCTGTGAAACATCTCAGAGAAAACTAGTCCTGTCAATGTACACGTATACCATCATTAAAAAAAAAAATCAACTATTGTACAAATACACACCTTAAATTTAATCTGTTTGACAGAGCTATAACCTTGAGTGCTGTGAGCTGATGATTGGAGATCTCCATCCAAACAAAGTTGTATTTATTTTCGAACAGTTTGTCCTATTCTTGTTTTTTCTCTTTATCCAGTCATCTCACAAACACATGCAACTATGCGTGTTTAATACCTGAAAAAAGAAGATCTTTAATCCTGTAGATCAATAGCAGAGCAACAATAGTGGGAGATTTCTACCTGAACATCATTTTATAAGGGGATCATGGGAGAAGGCACCCCAGCAGGGGTAGGAGTCAGCTTATAATAAAACCAACAATGAGATATTTTTCCCGGATTCTGCTTTCAATCACAGCTTTGCTTTCTTCTGGAAAAGACAGGTGGAATACAACACAGTGCACTTTTTCTTCTGGCAAATCCTGTGCCAGGTATGAATCATCTTCCCATTTAGGGGAGGAAAAAAAAAAAAAGAGAAAAGTGGTACGGAGAGGGGAGACAGAGTCAAGAAACACTGGCTAAAGCTGCGATGACTAGCCCAATGATTTTATAGTCGAATATTTGTGATAACTGTGATTATTGTGCACTTGCAATTCAAATATGGCAATTTTCGTGACAGCTCAAGCAGCGATGACTCACCTGTGTCTTGCCCAGCAGCTTATATGCCAGGTGAACTTTGGTGTAGTGAGAGACATCAAAGTGCTTGCAGGTTTTGGACAGCGCCACATCTAGCTGTTCCTGCATAAACGAGCACAAAATCAGCAACATCAGCACAGGAAGTTCAATGGCATAATTTGAGTGCATGTGGAAAGCAGAAACAGGCAAAAAAAAATGTAGAAGCCTAATTTTTATGGTGCTGAAACATACAATTACCACAAATGAATGAGGGCCATAATAATCAATGATTTAAATCACAGATGATACTGAACGCACAACTTCATTTTGAGCTCAAAGATAAGCATTCGCATTCTTAATGAGTTGAGACGTGCGCTGCTACAGAAATAGAAAAGTGGCGTGAATCATTGTCATTTTGGTAGCAGCGCTCTGCGTTGGCACAGGCGCCGTGCTATTCACTAATGCATGTGATGAGACAGCGAACGAGATAAAAAGATGGGGAGGAAGGGAAAAGAAAGTGTGAGAGACATATATTAAAAGAGAAACATGAAAGAAAAGAGAAAAAAAGAACAAGTCAAAGAGTAAAGGAGTTGTATGTGAGGCTGAACGCCATCCAATTACATTTGCCACACAGAAATCTCTGCATAATATAGCAGATAACACAAACAGCACTGCTTGAGAAACTGTGTGTGTGTGTGTGTGGCTTTGCGTGTTTTGTGGTGGTATAAGCTTGAATGAAGCTACCAAGTCCTGAAAAACAGCAATTTATTTAATAAAACACAGTCCATCTGCCTCTGGGCCTGAGAGACCAAATGCTGGCAGACTGACACCCTGGGCGCCACTGTTAGACATACAAACGCATGGTCAAGTGTTCCTTCCGATCTGTTTAATTCATATAAAGTTGAGGCACTACATCAGGGCAACTGCTGTTGTTAAATCTGTCAAGGGTGCGTGAGTGTTTCTGAAGGGAATAGGGTGATCTGAGACTGAATGTCTGATTCAATGAAGAAGAAGGTCACCATCCTAGATTCCTGTCTTTTGCCTCAACAACAACAACAAAAAAAGTCACATACCTCGATTTGCTCCAGAGTGTCTTGCAGTTTGGAATTCAACTCGCTGATGGGAAAAAAAAGAGACAAGGGTGGCAAACGGTGAATAGGAATGCAAAACAACAGAAATGTTGGTTCATTGTGAAGCACAAGTAACCATTGTATTCTGTTTGCAGGGTAACACAAACCACCAAAAACATTACAGTAACATGTTGGAGGCAAAAACAGCTAGCTTTCTCCGAGAGTGAGAGAGAGCACTAAACAACACATAACCTGCCTCACAAATGGAAAAAAAAACAGACACTGACATTTGAAAAACAGGGGTGCATTTTTACAGAGCGTGGCTTCTTGCTTATCTTGTGCAGCGGGAAGAAGACTGATGTGTGTTGCTAGTGTCGAAAGGGGTGTGCTAAACTAGTCAGTGGGTTTTCTGAATGAGGGAGGGAAAAAAATGACTGGTCTGTCTTACGAAAGCCATGAATAATAAGGCTGATTTAGGGTCACATCAATCACACTCCAATCAGATGTCTTTCTTAGGGAACTCAACAGTAAAAAGCTGTCTTTTTCCACTATCTCCAACATTCATGTACTATTATCGCATTTCGGCCCTAATGGCAGTCGCACAGAATTTTCAAATTGGTTGTGAAGCAGCCATTACCCTCTGAATAATGTATATATGAATTTATCCACACAAAACAAATGACGGCCATATTTGTTTGAAATACACTCATAGCAGGTTTTCTATAGCTAATCAATGTAAATAATTATGTAATGGTAATAAAATATTTAGTCTGGACATAATTATTCACAAGCACCAACTTTACAGAAATAGTGTTTAGGATTAACATTTTAGTGCAAAAATGCTACACATTAGGTTTTCATTTAAATACATTACATCCGGTTAAGTGGTCGGATATGGTCTCACGCACTCGATAAAGTCAATACAAAAATTCAGAACTCCTTGAAAATGAATACTTGAACGATACTGAAAAGACGGTTTGAGGATTTTTTCTGCTTGCCCATTTGACCCAGTATTTCAGATTTGTGTTCGCACTTACAATTTCACTAAATAAACACATAACAAACATTTAAAATTGCAAAATGTCTTGTTTAAAATATATAATTCTAGATTTAAGTATTTTATATTTACTTAAAATTATTAGATTTTATTTATCATACTTTTTTTTTTTTTTACTTGTTTCATGAAAAGAACTAAGAAATTTTGAATGTGCATAAGTATAATTTGCAACCAAATGTTTTTGTTTTAGATTTATTTCTTTGTGTTTTTTGACTTGTATGGGACAGTGGAGACGTGTCAGGAAGCAAAGTGGGAGGGGGGGGGATCGGGAAAAGTCCTCGAGCCGGGAATCGAACAAGGCTATCAGCACCAACTTGCAACCAAATGTTTGTTTGTAGGTCCTAAAAATGCAAAAAAGAAAACTCAATTAAGTTAAAAATGTCAAATAAAAAAAAAGTCTATACAAAGTACCTTGTACCACATAAAGGACCTTAAGTCTGACATCTCTGCATAATATAGCAGATAACACAAACAGCACTGCTTGAGAAACTGTGTGTGTGTGTGTGTGTGTGTGGCTTTGCGTGTTTTGTGGTGGTATAAGCTTGAATGAAGCTACCAAGTCCTGAAAAACAGCAATTTATTTAATAAAACACAGTCCATCTGCCTCTGGGCCTGAGAGACCAAATGCTGGCAGACTGACACCCTGGGCGCCACTGTTAGACATACAAACGCATGGTCAAGTGTTCCTTCCGATCTGTTTAATTCATATAAAGTTGAGGCACTACATCAGGGCAACTGCTGTTGTTAAATCTGTCAAGGGTGCATGAGTGTTTCTGAAGGGAATAGGGTGATCTGAGACTGAATGTCTGATTCAATGAAGAAGAAGGTCACCATCCTAGATTCCTGTCTTTTGCCTAAGGACAACAACAACAACAACAAAAAAAGTCATACCTCGATTTGCTCCAGAGTGTCTTGCAGTTTGGAATTCAACTCGCTGATGGGAAAAAAAAGAGACAAGGGTGGCAAACGGTGAATAGGAATGCAAAACAACAGAAATGTTGGTTCATTGTGAAGCACAAGTAACCATTGTATTCTGTTTGCAGGGTAACACAAACCACCAAAAACATTACAGCAACATGTTGGAGGCAAAAACAGCTAGCTTTCTCCGAGAGTGAGAGAGAGCACTAAACAACACATAACCTGCCTCACAAATGGAAAAAAAAACAGACACTGACATTTGAAAAACAGGGGTGCATTTTTACAGAGCGTGGCTTCTTGCTTATCTTGTGCAGCGGGAAGAAGACTGATGTGTGTTGCTAGTGTCGAAAGGGGTGTGCTAAACTAGTCAGTGGGTTTTCTGAATGAGGGAGGGAAAAAAATGACTGGTCTGTCTTACGAAAGCCATGAATAATAAGGCTGATTTAGGGTCACATCAATCACACTCCAATCAGATGTCTTTCTTAGGGAACTCAACAGTAAAAAGCTGTCTTTTTCCACTATCTCCAACATTCATGTACTATTATCGCATTTCGGCCCTAATGGCAGTCGCACAGAATTTTCAAATTGGTTGTGAAGCAGCCATTACCCTCTGAATAATGTATATATGAATTTATCCACACAAAACAAATGACGGCCATATTTGTTTGAAATACACTCATAGCAGGTTTTCTATAGCTAATCAATGTAAATAATTATGTAATGGTAATAAAATATTTAGTCTGGACATAATTATTCACAAGCACCAACTTTACAGAAATAGTGTTTAGGATTAACATTTTAGTGCAAAAATGCTACACATTAGGTTTTCATTTAAATACATTACATCCGGTTAAGTGGTCGGATATGGTCTCACGCACTCGATAAAGTCAATACAAAAATTCAGAACTCCTTGAAAATGAATACTTGAACGATACTGAAAAGACGGTTTGAGGATTTTTTCTGCTTGCCCATTTGACCCAGTATTTCAGATTTGTGTTCGCACTTACAATTTCACTAAATAAACACATAACAAACATTTAAAATTGCAAAATGTCTTGTTTAAAATATATAATTCTAGATTTAAGTATTTTATATTTACTTAAAATTATTAGATTTTATTTATCATACTTTTTTTTTTTTTTACTTGTTTCATGAAAAGAACTAAGAAATTTTGAATGTGCATAAGTATAATTTGCAACCAAATTTTTTTGTTTTAGATTTATTTCTTTGTGTTTTTTGACTTGTATGGGACAGTGGAGACGTGTCAGGAAGCAAAGTGGGAGGGGGGGGGATCGGGAAAAGTCCTCGAGCCGGGAATCGAACAAGGCTATCAGCACCAACTTGCAACCAAATGTTTGTTTGTAGGTCCTAAAAATGCAAAAAAGAAAACTCAATTAAGTTAAAAATGTCAAATAAAAAAAAAGTCTATACAAAGTACCTTGTACCACATAAAGGACCTTAAGTCTGACAGTAAATGTTGAATATTAGTGTAATAGTAGTGCTTTAAATGGAATGGGCCAGCTGCATCTCGAAATGTATCCCTTTAAAGCACTACCAGTAAAAATACTAAAGCTAAAACAAAAATTAGAGTTAAAAAAAATCTGACCCATCTGATCCCATTAGTGTCTAAAAAGCAAACCTTTGGGCCTCTATGAGGAACCAGCTGAGACTTGGAGCAACATGATACTAGCAGCAACTTTGCCGGTGGCCACGCATAATCATGATCTGACAATTAAGAACAACTGTATTTTATTTCACAAGCTAACTCAGCTTGACATGAGGGATTGCCTGGCCCCTGTGAGGCCCGTCTCTTCCTTTTCCTCATCCTTCCCTTTTTCCTTCTCTTTGAAGGCACTGGATGCAAAAAGAAGTGTTCCAGAAAACTGATCCTATAGATGCTCTAATTTTGCCACAATGCACAATTCTTGGCATGAGGAACCGCATCCGTGTACCAACGCACGGCTGGTGTGCAAAAACAGGAGGTGTTTTAATACGCAACATTCTATTTGTGTTGTTATAAAAAACCGGCAGGAGAGGATGTGACCTTTTCATGAAAAAGCTGATTCCTTCAGACAAATGATTTTGAGTGCTGGTGACCTGGACAAGTTCTTGCAAAGGCTGATGGGAGGATGCAGAAGTCCTTTAGTCTGCCTCAATCCATCACAGTGGGCTCTGACTCAACGTGTGTCCCCTTTTCCCTTTAGGGCCCTCAGAGGAAACCCAGCATCACATCGAGCTGATCAATTACTTCTGACTCGCAGCTCGTCACCATTGTGCCTCTCCGAGCTTCGCTTTTTCCTTCGGGAAGGCCTTGCGAAATCACATTTTAATGAGCTTTCACGACAGGATCCGTTGCACAATAAAAACATTTCCATTCAAACGGTCTCTTATCATTATCATGAAATTAGACAAGAAAGCGCAGAGAGGAAAGACCAAGACTTTTTTTTTCCCCCATTTCAGTTTCGGAACATAAATCCTTTGCTAATAGCATGGGGCCAATGGTGTCAGATGTGATTAAATTAAAGGATGTAGCTGGATTTGTGGGTAGTGTTTTTAAAAGTTGAGTGTGCTGGGCTGTAAAACCACACCGCTGGGCACTTTTGCGGCTTACGTCTCTTTCCAATTAACTCAGCTTTCTTGCACCTGAGCGAGCAGACAACTGAAGTATCCATTACTGGTAGAATAAGTGCTGATATATAGTCTATAACTAGCTGCAGGAAAAGCAATTACTTGGAAAAAGTCTCGAAGATGTCCTCAAAATCCAAAACAGGTTTATCTGTGAAAGTCTGCAAACAAAAGTTTTTAAGATGAAGCAACATGTGAATCACAATTTCTTTGTTGCAACAGCACATACGACAACTGAAGTATCCATTACTGGTAGAATAAGTGCTGATATATAGTCTATAACTAGCTGCAGGAAAAGCAATTACTTGGAAAAAGTCTCGAAGATGTCCTCAAAATCCAAAACAGGTTTATCTGTGAAAGTCTGCAAACAAAAGTTTTTAAGATGAAGCAACATGTGAATCACAATTTCTTTGTTGCAACAGCACATAGTTCATGCCAAGAAAGCAACTGATGGACATCTGCTTTGACTTTAAAGCTTTTGAGATTGTTTGACGTAGGAACACATACTGGAACCATCAGAATTTGAAACTTCCCATCCAAAAAAGTAGGGATGCATGATATATCGGCCACCATATCGGTATCGGCCGATAAATGCTAATTTTTTCTGTTATCGGTATCGGCCCGATAAGAAAATTTGGCCGATATCTTAAAGCCGATAAATAATGCATTATTTCCTTCAGAGACACTTCAGATGCGCGCTGTTCGTTTGCAGCCTTTTGTGCAATTGTACGTTGTAATATTGTGTTTATTTGATGTATATCTGATTTATCTCATATAGAATGCGTTTGGTTAAGTTAAAAGAGCACTTCAGTTTACCGGTGATCATCTTTAGCTCAGCACACGCAGCTCAAACAGCAGTGCACAACAATAATAACTATGATTGGGAATGTCGTGTATATAAAATTCTAATGAGAACATTATTATAATAAAACATTGTGAATTCTTTGGGTTTAGTTGCCATGTTTCAGTGCGTTGTTATGGGAAGAGCGCATCCACAACAGGATCACACATTCTGACTATAGCATGCAATAACTGCGTCATTTTGTACATATATAAGTTGTAATATTATGTTTATGTTGTATTAATATTAATCTCAGGATGCATTTCCTTGAGTTAAATAAGCTGCCAGCAAAACGCTTCAGTTTACCATGTTCATTCAGCTCTTCAGCTTCAGCACGCGCAGCTCAACGGCTGCTATTTAAAACAGTGGTATTAATTTGTTACTTTTTCAAAATCATTGATATATTATTAATAACAACAACCACTTGTATTGTTCTCTTATTATTTTCATCAACAATATGGTTTAGTAATTAAAATCATTTAATTATTGTCCGTGCAGAGGCTATTCCGTTTTATTGATCTATGGCGCATTCATTTTGATTCTTTACACGTGTAATGATGTCCAGTGACTTGTTTGCATTATTTATGCATAATTTTATTTATTTGTAAGACTTTTTTATGACTAAATTTGGTAATGGGAGAGTAAAAATATTTTTAAAACGTACACCGTTCAAACTAGGCTGCTTATGTTGAAGTGTTTGGGATGTGGCTTTTAATGATGAGACCTTTTTTGTAATCAGGCTCTCAAAAAGTATATAACAATTTGGATATAGATTTATCGGCCAACATATCGGTTATCGGCTTTCAAAAATAAAGAATAATCGGTTATCGGTATCGGCCAAAATTTTCATATCGGTGCATCCCTAAAAAAAAATACCGTCATGTACCGTGAAACCGGTATAATTTTGAAAAATACTGTGATATAAATTTTCGGTCATACCGCCCAGCACTAATTAGAACATTCAAGCAGTTTAAAAAAAAATTTTTTTTTAAATGTGCCATAGAGAAAACATTGCTGGCGTGCATCACGATACAAATCAATGGCAATAACATTTTAAGATATGTCAGTGCAAGTTAATTTCAGTTAAGACAGTCTTGCACCAGGCTTAAGCCTTGTCTATGAATCTGCGCATTAAAGATGTTTTTAGATAAAATTCTGTGTCTGTCCCTCCACCCGAGCAGGCCAGAATACAACCGAGGAAAAATAGGTCAGGTCTTATTAAAGTTATAAAGTGATTATTTTGTTGTTTGATTAACATTAATGACACAGACAGCAGTGGGTCTATTAGACAACCGTCTCTTTAACCCCTTAGTCACCCCCCATTTTCGTCATGGAGACACAAATGACATACCCAAAATAAAAAGGTTGCTGCTCATGAGTCTTTCTTACTAGATACATAATCAACATATGTTCACAAAGCTGACACTTCAAAGTTTACTGTTCAGGAATCAGAATTACTCGGACTGTTAAGATTTTTTAAATGTATAAAAAATATGTTGCTGTAGGATATGATTTTAGAAGCACAATGAAGCTAAAGCCACAAGTCTAAT